TGTCAGGACTGCATTGCTGTGTTGTAAGAGGTGGAGGGCAGTGTTTTCAACGGACAGGCCAGTGTGGTACAAAGGCTTCCTCTGGAAGTGAAGACGGCATTACTAGAAAGTTGGGACCTCCAGAGGTTTTTCCTACCATCAACTGACTTTGATAGCTAGAATTTCGTGCCTACACAGTGAGTCGCACAACCACAGGAGGGTAGGAAGGCTCATGGTGCAAACTGTGCCCCAGCACAGGCAGTCATCTTCGGGCAGGAGGGAGGTGCAGCTGATAAACCTGTAACCTGCAAGTGTCCCAGAGCTCTGGTGGCTTTGAGGGGAAAATTCCTCAAATATGTTGCAATGAAAAGCTCAAAAGTACTGCAAAGTGTTCAGTTCTGTCTTATGGGCAACAAGTGAGAATGCATTCCAGTGAACGCCTACATTCAGAGAAGTCCTTATCACTCAAGAACCAGATCCCAGAGGATACAATTCTGGCCATGCTGGAAAGTCCTAATGTTCTTCCTAATATCACTTTGGAGACAAGCTGCAAAGAGACTGTTTTGGGTTTGGTGGTGTTTTAGCTCTCTCTCAGACCTCAGTGTCATGGCTGATGGTAACATGTGAAAAATCTCAGAATCTTCCTAGCAAGCAGTTCAGCCAGTCTTTGACAAAGTGTTCTTGTGAGCTGATGTCTAATCTCTCATTTGTCTGTCTGCCAATCAGTTTCAGTTCTAGGTTGCAGTGCAGTGCATTTCCCCAGTTCTTCCAGTGTGGGGCTTAGCCTCAGTTGCTGGACCAACAATGTGTTCCCAACCTGGTGGTTTATTTCATTCCACTCCTCTTTGCTTTTATGAGGTTAAGAATCCAAGTTCAACCCTGGATCATTGGCCTTTGATACATCTTCATTGCCAGTGAGATTTTCTTCTTTGCTCTGTTGAGGAGCACACTTTGATGGCTTTTGTTTCTGTTCTCTTCATCTTGTCTGACTCACCCTCCTTTTCTTCCTCTTCCTTCTGCAGGCACTGTGGTAATTTAAGAGTGTTGAGATAGGTGTCACATCTTTAACCAAAGCCAAATGACTGATTTTCTCCTCTTCTTCATTGCTTGTAATTTTCGGTATTTCACACAAGATCGGGTGTGTTCAGGGTGGCATGACTGTTCCCTGGAACTTCCTGTGTTTCAATAGTGATGAGGAGTGACCTGGTCTGACCCAATGTACTGCTGTCCTCCTAAGGTAGTCACTGTTCTCAGAAAGCAATCGATGAGCTCTCTGAGATTCCTCCAAAGGAGAAGTCATGGGAAAAGTGATGGGCAAGGCCTGCTGAATTCAAACATGCAGTGGGAGCAGAAGCAGCTTAGAGGGTGTGGGGCTCTCCAAAGTTCTTGCCCAATATCCTTGTGGTGACTTTCATTTTCTTATGTTCTTGCTGGAGCACCTTCTGGGACAGGTCTAAGGAAGGTGAAAACTCAGCTTCTGGCATAATTTGAGAAGGCTTAGTGACAAATGGAGGAGATTGTGGAGACTGGCGGAATAATGACAGGTGGTGGAGATGGGAAGTGGGGTTGTCATCCATAGCCTGGAGCCCACAGAGCATGTGTTCTCTTTTTGATTACTTGGTGTTTTAGTTCTACGTGTGGCAGCAGACTCTCAGTGGGTTGCTGGAATGTCTCTCTTAGGTGGTAAGTGGGGGATGGTTTTGATAGCAATGCACCAGGCTGTTATTTTTGTGAGTTGGCTTAGGGGAAGGGACAGGGAGTCACTTGGAAGGAATGACATGAGTAAGCCTTGGGGTAACAGTAGTATTAGTGCTGGCAAGAACAGCAAGCAGGGTCCTGGGTGCCAGGAATGGGTGATGAAGGGGGTAAGTCTTTGTGACAGCTGTGGCAGCAGCAGGTACTATCGTGGCAGAGGACATTAAGGTAGAGGAGATTGTCTTTGTTTCATTTCCAGAAAACTATGACATCTTTTATTTGCCTTTACCTTGCTTCCTGGGATGAGGACAAGGGTCTTTTCAGGGGGCTTAATGGGTGGTTGCCCATTCTCAGGATGATTTTGCTTCACAGTTAGGCTGGCTTCCAGTTGAGTCTCATTACACTTTGGGGTCCTTTTCTGGAATAGGACTCTTGACCCCTGATATTCTCACTGGCTCTTCTCCTAGGACTGGACTAGAAGATCTAGCACTCCCTATTCTTTAATGCATCATGGCTCAACTTTCCTGTATCCTCATCATCCTGCTCAGGGTCTTCTAAAAACACTCCTTTTTTTATCCAGCTGTTCTCTTAGTTTTCATGCAGACATTTTTCACTCTAAACTTCAGATGTATTTAGATTCATCACTGCTCCTTTCCCCCTCCATTTCCAGGGCTTGCAAAAGCCTGAAAACATGCTCTTTCTATTGGGTGTAGGTGTGCATCCATCCTCCACATTTTCTATGACCAAGCCTGGGTCTTCAGTAGGTTGGTCTATTTCTTCCAGTTGACCTTCAATGGCACTATTAATCAGTTTAGTGAGGCAAGGTGCAATTTCCAGGTTGCTACCTCTTAGCCTCTACACATGTGTCCCCTGGAAATTCTACTGGCCTCTGGCTGATGGGCTCTAGTCAAAGCCCCCAGCATCTGGGGGTCAGGAGATAGCAGGTCCAATAGTGGAGGTGGCTAGATTGGTTTTAAAATGGAATCTGTATAGTGTCAAAAGGCTGGTTATATGATAAAAGGCACCAAGAACAGCTTAACATTCACAAAAGTACATGAATACATACACAGTGCAGGAGACTGGGATTTTATGCCAATACCTCTTTAAAGTAAAAACAACTTCTTAGTGAACTTAAGGAATACATATCTGCAACCCTAAATGATAGATCTTTATTTCCTAATCTGTTCATTTATATGATGTTTGCACATGCTAGACACATTTGAAAATCTTCTGCAAGACTGTATCCCATTTTAAAAATGAAAACTGTGTCTTGGAGAAGCTAAGTAATTTGGTCAAAGACTGATTCATACAGCAAATTCCATGGCTTTGCACCTCTTTGACACACCCACAGAAACTTCAGTGCCTGCATACATGTTTTCTCATCTATCTTTGCTTCCCTTAGCAACTTGGTTCTTCCCTAACTACCTTAAGGGGGTACAAAGCCAGGAGTAAGGTGTCAAGAACAGTAAACTGGGTGCAGCCTTAGACTCTGTTATGACTATATTTGAGGGCAAAATATATGTCTTCCCTGAGCTCTGTATTTGGGTGAATGGTTTTCACTAAGTAAAAAATGTAGATTTTCTTATCTCACCAAAAAGAACCAAAGGCTATATTATATTTAGGACTGTTATGCATATTGCATTAGGCCACCTGATTCTGAGTCTGCTATTTATTTCAGGCATACCTAACATATTTTTAATGGGTTTGATGTTGTCTGTTTGAAATGTGAGAGAAAGCACTCCCATCCTGCGTCACACCTGCATGAGCACTGGCCCCAGAATCAGAGAATCTCAAAGTTCCCAATCACAAGATTTTCTCTTGCTAATGCTATAGAAAGCAAAATGGAAATAACAAACTTCCAAATCCATGAAGAAGCAGCAAGGAGAGGAAAATGAAGTTGGTATGATAAGTGGTCATTTTCCTAAGGTACATAGTGGTTAAGGGAAAGGGGAGGGAGTCTTTGCTTTGAACCTGTGGCTGTCTCTTTAAGAGTTCACATCATCCCTGGGTGTAGTCTTCATCTTCTTGTCTCTCTTCCCTTTTAAATCTTCTTCCTTCCTTTATGCAAATAGTCAGGTTATCATATACTCAAGAAGGACATATAGTAGGGGATTCTCCATCTCTTTCTTTGTCCTCATACATTTTTTATTTATTTTAATGAGAAAAAAGATAAAATAGCAATAAAACAGTTTCAAAACAGGTTAGTAGGACACTTACAATAATTAATGCATTGCATATTGTTGTCTTCATAGTAATTATTCAGAGGACAAGATGCAGACATGATATCTTGTCTAAGCAATATTAGTATGAAGCTTTCTTCTCAATGGAGTAAGAGAAAGTAGCTGTATATCTATCCTAACTATCTTGTGTGTGTATATATATATATATTTTTTTTCTTTTTCATACTAAAATGATCTTTTATTTATACTTTTACAAAGTTTGTAACACGTGACACAAGATTGCATAGGGACTAATAACTAACCTTAACCAGATGGGATGTTTATCTCAGGACTGAAGTATCTTGTTTGCTTTAGGCTCTGAGGTCTAGACCCACCTACACCCATCTGACCAATTTCCTAGCTCCCATGGCTCCCAACATAGCCCCCTTTCTTGTTTTGTTTTGTCAGAGATGGGTATTTCATTGTAGTTAGGAAAGCTGTATTTGGAGAATTCTTTAAAGGATTCTTTTCATACTTGATGCCAGTCCAAAGATTGTAGGTACTTGAATTCAGCAAAATAACCCAATATAGTCCTATAGTCCATAATAGTAGTGGGTTATCAGCACAACTCATAATTGTCAGAAGTTGTTGATTTGAGCCTTTTACAGCTTAGCATATTAATGTGCATTACTTTTTATACCTCATATAATATGGTATTACTTTTTATACTTTTCTGCTGGATGGTTAAGACCAAGTTAAAGCCAGACCTGTCCTCATACTTTTTATTTCTCTTTCATTTTCTTTTTTAATGTTAAGCTTTTATTTACAAAGCTTTTTAGTTTTACAGAAAGTAAAAATGGTGTTACAATCTCAATGTAATGGTTGACTCGCCAATCACAGCTATCCCCGCAACAGCAAGCCTCACACAAAACTCTAATAATGCTTACAATTTTGCTGGGGCAAAGTACCCAAGCTTGGTGGTGGATTACCAAGAGGGACTAAATGGAGGAAGGTGGAAGGTCACAGGAACTATTCTTTGACTCTTTGGGTGGGTGAGTGTCCTGGGGCTTGTATCACAGCTAACTTTTTTTTTTTTAAACAGATACCAAATCCATGAGCAGTCCAACCAATACTGAACAGTTCTGCTTTTGCAGGTTATCTGGGGTCTTAACCATCTTCTCCTTTGTCATCTGTTTCTCTCTTCCTCTTCTCACCTTTTCTGTTTTCTTCCACTTCTTCGTCCTTATCTTCATCCTTCTCCTCCTCCTCTTCATCAATTTCTCCATCATGTCCAAATTCTTCTTCCTCACTCACTTTGTCTTCATCTTCATCCCCGTTCACATCTTCATCCCCATCCTCTTCTTCATCAAAGTCCTCCTCCTCACCATCCTCATCTTCTTCATCCTCCTCATCTTCTCCTTCTTCATCCTTCTCCTCTTCATCTACACCATCCACCTCTGCATCTGAATCCGAGGCTTCCCGGTTCT